ACTTCAAGTCCTGTGCAAAAACGCATGATCGCACGGGCCCGCCTGGTGCGTTTCAGCCTGGGTTCCCTTCTCAGGAGGATCTACCGGGACGATCCCGCCTGGACTACAGTCAGCGATATCCACTTTGAATTCGGAATCATCACTGAATCGTTCTGACAGTAAAAAGCTATGATGCTAAATGTGTTTAGTGAAGCTCGTAATGCAAGGCAGGGAGCTCTAAGCGAACTTAATGGCGCCATCCGGTGGTGGGAACATAAGGCTGCTATTGATTCGGAACAGATTTCAGATTACTCACTGACAAAAAACACATTATTTTACATTCCAATAAAGGAATTTTCAAGCGAATAAATTCATGTAAACAATGAGGGATGCAAGAGTTCTCGTGAGGCGGCTTTTCATGAAGGAATTTCTCGTAACCGTTCGAAACGTATGTAAAACTTGAGGTCTCGCTGACGATAGCATGAATATGGCCAATCACGATCCCCATCTTAGAGCCCTTTTAGGTTTAATGCTCAACCATCGCTCACCCTCAGCATCATTTTTCAAGACATTGCATGAACGTCACTTCCACTTTTCTTTCGTTTTTCTATATCATCAGCAGCAGCGCTGTGGCTGAACCTGGTGCTATGTACATAATTAACAGAACGATGAGGGGACTACTTAGTGAAAGCACTGTGAGGCAACTTCACATAATTCAACCACTGTATTTATATATGTACGTTGATAACAAGGTGTAATCTAGCTTGCCATTGCGTACCTCCAAAGCAAGACCAGCGAAAATTCGTCTCTACCTACTGAAGCCTGTTGACAGCTGGATACAGAGACTGACAAGCCGAGGAAACGAGAGGCCTTAGCCTTACGAATGCCTTCAGACTGAATTCAGATTATTTGGAATAGAGAGGACACTCTTTTTTCTGTTTTCGTTGGTGATAGGTTTTCAAGCTTGGCACGCTCGTAAGTAGCATTCAAGAAGAGGGCCTTCGTCAGTTTTGCAGGCAGTAAATATTTGTTTCATCAGCAAACGTCTCAATTCTTGTTTGCTTCAAAGGATTGATTGTGAGTTGTTACTAGACGTTTCTTTGGTTTTTCAGATCATATTTATTCGCTAGCGAAGCCCGAAAGTTGTAGGCTATCCGATTCAGAGTACATGATGTCTGGGTTTAGCTGGACTACTGTTGACTGTCGACAGTGCATATGTCAAAAGGTTATTCCTTATCAGTATTTCCATTAAAATGTAAGAGTTTTTTGTTTTGGGTTATTTTTTCAATCATCCATAAAGAACAGGTCTTTTAGGGCGAAATTACTTGTTCGGAGAAGCGGTGTGAACCAGGCGACTGTTACCACAACAGTTCCAATCCCCAAAAAACAGTCATTTGCCCAAATGATCAGGTATTTTTTTACACAGAGCGAAGCGAATTGGATTTTTCATCAATTTTATTATGGTTTTTTTCCGAGAAAACTTAAGGACTGAGCTTCAGGATTTGTCAAAAAAGCTAGGCAGAGCATTCGACTCCGCGCTAATGGTAATGCCAGCCATTTATGACTCTTTCATTCATTTCGATGACAAATAAGTAACGGCACATAAGAGAGAGTCAAAGCCGGCATCGCCCTGTTTCCAAGTAAGCCTTAAAAGATGGAGTAGTCAGCAGCTTTGCTACCAGTACTTGGCAGTTATACTATCCTAATTATTTCCAAGCGTTTCTACCTTCCCATTTGGAGTGAAGTGTGGAAGAAGCTTTGATTTGTTGTTGAGTTATTGAGAAATTAAGCAGTTTATTCGATCTTCAGAAATGTGATCCATTTCTTCTTTTTGAGCTTCGCCGTATTTGTAATACGACTTTAGTCACAAATTTTTTTGCTGTGCTGTACTGTACCGGGAAAATGTTATTTTTCGGGAAACTTTCATTCCTTTTGCATTTTTATTTTCGTCTAAGAAAGAGAAGAAAATCGGTATTAACAAATTTCGTCAAATGTTCATCTGGCAGAATGCCGAAGTTATAGGTTACAGTTTTTAATACACAATCTTCACGAAATGGGAACTGAATTTCAGCACTGTGTAATTGCGACGGAGGATGAATGCCTGAAAGCGGAGTGCAATTATCCACGCGGCCGCTGCATGTCATGGACACATGTGAATAGCGGAATGGCGAGGCGCATTTGTCGCGAACGCTTGGATGCTGGACTAGTAAGCACACAAGGCTGTAGTCGGATGCACCTCGAATTTGATATGAGCAGCTTACCCAAAGTAACTTTCAAAGCATGCATTTTTTGCTGCGCCCACGGAATACAGTTGCTTTGTCATTTGAATTATGTTTATCTTCTGCTTGATCTGACATGCCTAACATCAAAAAAAAAAACGAGGGAAATACCTTAACACCTTTTCTCAAACAGAATAAATTGCCTTTCTTGGAACGAGCGCATTTCTTGGAGTGCAGTTTCATTTTTCCCACAATTTTCTGCGAGTAAGGATTTCTTTTTAGATTCGAAGGTTCGATTTTCAGTCCCCTTTTCTGTTCTTTATAGACGATTTGTATGTCTTTCGTTATTATGCACTTTTGCACCCATGTGCAAATGCAGAAACGCGTATTGTCGAAAGGCCTGCAACACCGTCGTCTCAGCTGATACCCCTCTATATGCAGAAACACATTAATGCTGTTGAAATGAGCGAGTATATTAAACTGAAAAGCAACAACTGTTCATACTGTTAACGATCTGACTGTTCCAACTTAAGAGCAAAAATGTACGATCGCTCCGGATACGCTAGTGCGCGTTGCTATCTGGTTTATAAGTCTTTTTTTGACTTTTCCATCCACTGGCTAAATTTTACATGCGTTTTGCTAAATTTTGCGCTGTCTTGCTGTCTCACTTTAATGCACGTTTCATTCACTCTGTTAATTTAACGCTTTTACCGAGGATTCAGTTGATCAATGGCCTTTCGTTTTTTCTTACTTGGGAAAAAATTTTTCAGGGGACAACATCTGGCGATGTGTGTTTTCATTTACTTCTGGATGTTAGCGCAGCAAATATTACTAATACGGGCTTTGAATGCAAACAAACGTCGTCAGCAATGGTCCAAGTGGATTTAGTAAGCTTTCATTTCATTTTAGTTCATGATCAACTAATTGGCCAACGCACGGGCTGACCGTGCGAATATGCATTTTTTGCATAGTTCCCCGCAGTTTTTGTTGCTACCGGCACCGGTTTTTCCGGCAAATGCTTCTAGCTAAAC